TTTTATCAATGTGGAGAGTTCAAGATCTATGGATATTTTCTTATGCTTTTATATTTAACCATGTGGTTTTGTGTGCTTTTGAACATACATTATGTTTTTTGTCACCCCATCAATGGTTATTTTATGGGCTAGCGTTTCTAAACCTTTTTGAACAGATCTGATTTTATGTTTAAAGATCGCTGTATTTTGGTTCTTTTAATGTTTGAAGGTGTTATTTCTTTCTCTTTGTTTTGTCTCTATCGGACCTTTTTACTCGTACATATGATGTTTTTTTGTTCCACTCCTTTCAGTTATAACTTTTAACCCAATATTCAGAATTAGGGTTTTTTACTGCACAATTTTGGAGGATTCGGAATGCTTGTTGGTTTTGTTTTCCATGTCTATTTTCGTTATATTGCTTTCTTTTCAAGTATGAGAGTGTTTTAGTTATTTTCTTCTCCCAAAGTTTTTTTTTGGGGGGTAAGTTCTCCCAATGTTTGATGGTGTACATGAACATGTCTGATGTTACATTAGGATTGATTGGAGACTAATTTATGAACATAAGCAGATGAAGACAGTTTAGATATCCAACAAGGTTGTCCATATAGACAATCATTCTGCCTATAGAATAAAATATGCTTGTATAAGAAAATAATAATAAAAAACCTTTGACAATATATTGGAGTCGATGTGTCTGCCTAATTCTTCATGTGCTTGTTTTGTGGTGCATCTTTGTCTGCGTATTTGTTATTTTGATCACAATGCTATTGCTCCTAGCATAATAGTTCATATTATGGGACGATTGTTACAAACCATCCTTCAAATTTTTCATTCTTCTATTTTTTCATCAGAGCATTAAAAAATTTCAAATTATTGGGAGTTGAATTTGTTAATGTTTATCAATGAAAGAGGAAAGATATATTGATTCAGAATAATCAGAGTATTACAAAAAATTAAGAGATAAGCTACACAATAGTAGTCTTATATACAAGGGCAAACATAATAACATAAATGACTAATCTACCCCTAAAGCTAATATACTAGATTACTCTAACATCCCCAATCAAACACATGATGTGATAGCATCCAACATTAAGAGTTTGCCAAGAAGAAACCAAAAGTGCGCGATAGTGTACGATTTGGTGAAGAAATCTATCAACTGCATAGTTGAAGGAAGATATGGGAGAGAGACCGTGCCCAGCTGAAGATGATGGCGCACGAAGTGACAATCAATCTCTATATGTTTGGTGCGCTCATGAAACACCGAGTTGTGAGCAATCTGGATAGTACTGGTGTTATCACAATACATAGGAGTAGGAGTAGTCAAAGAAATGCCAATATCAGCAAGCAACCAACGCAACCAAACTATTTCTGCTGTGGTGGATGTCATAGCACGATACTCAGTTTCAATAGAAGATCGAGCTACAACAGTTTGTTTCTTGCTTTTCCAAGAAATAAGAGAATCACCAAAAAAGAGACAAAAATCAGTGGTAGATTTGCGATTCCTAGAATCACCAGCCCAGTCCGCATCAGAGTAAACATGGAGCTCTAGAGACAAAGATGAAAAAAATAATAAACTCTGATGTAACGTACCCTAGAGATATCAAAGAATCTGAAGAACAACAGACCAGTGAAGTGTGGTAGGAGCAGCGACAAACTGACTAACCACATGAACCGCATAAGCAATATCTAGACGTGTAACAATAAGATACACCAAACTCCCAACAATATCATGATATAAGGTAGGATTAGACAGGAGAGAACCATCAAAGGAAGTATACTGAACATTAAGCTCCAAGGGTGTGTCAGCTGTTCAGGTATCTGATAAGCAAGCTCGCTGAAGAACATCTGAGGCATATTTTGACTGAGAAAGAAGATAACCCTTGGGAGAGGAAGCAACCTCAATCCCTAAGAAGTATCAAAGTGGACCCAAATCTTTCATCTCAAAATAATCCTATAACTGAGTTTTTAACAGTTGAATTCCCGCATTGTCATCTCCTGTAATAATCATGTCATCCATATAAAGTAATAGAAGAATGAAACCAGAAGGAGTGGAGCAAAGGAAGAGAGCAAAATCATGATCATTAACATAAAAGCCTAAATCACATATGACTGAAAAAAAAATTGCAAATTATGCCCTCGGGGCCTGTTTAAGACTATATAAAGCCTTGTGAAGTTTGCACACATGATCAGGACTACAAGACAACCCAGGAAGAGGAGTCATATAGACCTCTTTAGATAAATCACCATGAAGAAAAGCGTTTTTTACATCCATCTGAGATAAGCTCCACTGACGAACAGCTGCCACAGCAATTACTGTGCAAATCGTGGTCATCTTAGCCACTGGAGCAAAGGTCTCATCATAGTCAAGCCCATATTCTTGAGCAAATTCCTTGGCCACTAATCTAGCCTTGTACCTTTCCATAGAACCATCAGATTGAGTTTTGCTTTTATAAACTCATTTACAACCAATGGGGCGTTTACCAGGAGGTAAAGACACCAACTCCCAAGCTCGAGTCTTATGTAATACAGAAAGCTCCTCATCTATAGCCTGTTGTCAAAAGGGATCAAGTATAGCCTCCTTATAGGAGGTGGATTCAGACAGAGAATGTATAGAAGAACAAAAATCAGAAGAGTAACAAGAGTTGGACCAGCCAAACCTGTCAGGACACTTTCGGGGGCGCTGAGGATAACGAGGAGTGTGATCCACGGTGTCAGAATTTGATTGTGAGCCAAGAGGTGCAGATGAAGACACAATATATGTAGAGGAGACCGTGGGAGTCCTGCGAACATAAGTATGCACAATCGGGGGACGGGTAACAGACAAATCAGGCAAAGAGGAAGAAAAAGAGGAGGGAAGATCAGCCATAGTCATATCACCAACATACGAATCAGGAGAAATATTAGAGAGAAAGGGATCAAGATAGATAAGATCAGATTTATGCAAAGATGAAGAACTAGATGGAATATAGAAAAAAGGAATATGTTAGAGTAATCTAGTATATTAGCTTTAGGGGTAGATTAGTCATTTATGTTATTATGTTTGCCCTAGTATATAAGACTACAATTGTGTAACTTATCTCTTAATTTTCTGTAATACTCTAATTATTCTGAATCAATATATCTTTCCTCTTTCATTGATAAACATTAACATGGTATTAGAGTCATGATCTCTAAACCCAAATAATCATTGATGATTAAAGTCTAGAAGAAACCCTGGTGAACCTGATGTGCACTGGCCTGGTGAACCTGACTTGAATAACACTGACGTCATCATCGTTGGCGATGACATCATCAGTCTCCGACAGAGAATACCACCATCAGGATCAAATTCACATGGGCTTCTTATTGGTGTGCTTCCTTCTTTGTTTCGAGTTCATCTAGTAAGGGTTTCTATTTTTCAATATTTTTGGGAAAATACGTATAGATTCTTCGATCTGCACTTTTTGTCAAATTTTTGGTTTCAAGAAGCCAAGAGAGGTGCGACTAAGGGTGTTGAATGTTCATCTGAATGATTCAAGGTAGTTTGGTTGATTTGGAATGAGTTTTGTATGATTGGAGGTTTTTCGGTGACTATTTTTTCTCCTTACAGTGCACCGACTATGCACTGACTGCCCTTTGGTCTATTTTGTGATTGTTTTCTTTGGCTTCTTTATGTGTGGGCTGATTGTTGTGGGTTGTTATTGTGCATCGGTGTATCGTTTCTTGTCTTCACAATGCACCGATTGCTTTGAGATTGTTATTCTGTGGTGGGATTTGAAAAGTGGTTCTTTATTGATATAATTTGCCGTGTTGTTGGGTTGTTGGATTGTTGTTATTCTTGCAATTTTTGCTTTAATTTGGGTATTATTTTTGCTGAGAACATTATGGCTAGTGGACACTCCGATTCTCTTTAGGCTATCAGTGTCAGATTAAATGGTGAAAATTATGTATATTGGTCTTATGTTATAAAGAATTTTTTCTTGGGGAAAGAGATGTGGAGTTATGTTAGTGGTGCTTTGCAAGCTCCAACAGATTCGAAGGCAAAGAAATTTGCTGAGTTAAAGAATACATGGGAAGTCAACAATGCTAAAATCATCACTTGGATTAACAACTCCATTGATCAGACCATTGGTGTGCATTTGACTAAGTTTAACACGGCCAAAGAGATTTGAGATTATCTAGCTACATTGTTTGTTCAATCTAATTTTGCAAAGAGATAAGCTACACAATAGTAGTCTTATATACTAGGGCAAACATAATAACATAAATAACTAATCTACCCCTAAAGCTAATATACTAGATTACTCTAACAGAATTAAGCTAGTTATGTCTTTTGAATTTATGTTATCTTTTTGCCATTTTATGCTCCCCTGCCCTCCTCCCCCCACCCTCCAAATACATATGAATGTGCTTTAACATGTTATAATAGACTGTTGATCTTTCTACACTTACGATATAAGTCTAAGTTTGAAAAAAAAAATGGATGAGATTGGATCTCATCGGAACTGCGCCATCTTATTTTTTTGAACATGAAGAGATAAAGAAATTGTTGCAATTGCCAAAAAATAGAGGAAAGGTTGAGAGTTATCATAGAATGGGTACCTCAATTTATTATTTTATTTTTACATGTTTTTATTATTTAAAATGATAAAGATATCTTACAATAATTATAATTAAGAATTGAAATTCTTATTAATTCGTAGATATGGTAGAGAATTACTATCTATAGATAATGCTATAGATAATGAAAATTAAATTCAAAATTAAATTAGTATACAACGAGTATATCTAAATGAGTATATATACTAAGCACAAACAGAGAGGTACCCGGCATTAGGGACAACGTATGGTACTTCTTCACTCTAAGGGACCGAAAGTATAAAAATGGAAGCCGACCAAAACGAGGGACTGGTAACGGTTATTGGAAGGCCACAGGAGCTGATAAAATCATCAACCATAATGGTGTCACGGTTGGATATAGGAAGGCATTGGTTTTCTATGAAGGAATACCTACAAAGGGGAAAAAGACGAGTTGGATCATGCATGAATACAGAGTAAGTGGACCACCTAGAATCAGAAAGAATGTGAATGACATGAAGGTAGCGTTCTATTTACCATTTACTATGCTTCATAATTCCTATGTATGGGAACTTTTTAATTTCCTAATTCTTTTTTCGGAAGGTAAAATTTTTGTATTGATCTAAAAAAAAAATAGATGTACATAACACAGTAGTGATTCCTAACAAATCAATGGATATCACCATTGTATGTTTAAGATACAAAACTTAAGTCATTGCTAGAGACATTGAATTCCCTTGAAAGTACAGACCTTGAGCCCAGTACTTCTAGGAGAATACTACACCATTAAGCAATTCTCAGGCCAAAAAAAAAGTAGAAGAATTGGTAGAGTCACTAGGATGATGATTTCATTTCTTCAATTTTGAAGCATCTTACTAACTCAATGCTTTATTGGTGCAGCTTGATGATTTTGTGCTATGTAGACTTTATAAGAAAGTTGAAAATACAAACAAAAACAAGCAAGAGAATGAGAAAGGTGACGTGGCCGGACAACCTCAATCGTTGTTAGAAAATCCTCACATCAATAAGAGTGATCTTGTAGGAATGAATTTTCATTACAATAGCGTAGGAGATTCAAACAGACTTGTCAGTCCCTACTGTGGCAATGTTGAACCGCCTTTGCCAAATGGACTCCCTGAAAACCATCAGTTTATGGATGTTTCTCCCTCTGGAGTAAGGCCTATATGTTATATGCCTCCTATTTTTCCCACAGAGAGCTTTTATGAAGTGGAATTATCTTGAAGAAGATTCTAAGCTCGGAGTATTTCAAGACAACGGTTGGGGGGTCTCAGAACTTGGTCAGTACAATATATTTTCACATAATGGTTTCCATGATAACATGAGCACTGATAGTTTTCTAAACATGGATAACATTAATTTGTCGAGCACTGCCCCAAGCAATCCTACAAACAACGCTCCAAACAACCCTCCAAATAGCTCCTCGAAGCCATCATGAAGTTGGCCCACTAGTGTGAATTACACTTACACTGCTTCAAATTATAGCAATTGAGTAGCTTTTGAAAAATGTTAAAGTTTTGGTTTTATTGATATGTAGACCAACAAAATAAAAATTATAGACTTCAATTAGTTCCTAGGGCGCATTATAGCAATGCAAAAACAAACTTTTAAAGTCAGAATATCATTATATATTATCCCTCATATATGCTTGCTTCCTATTTTTCTGTCATTGTCCTTTTTTTCTTTCTTTTTTTTGAAGTATTTATTATACGAAATCTGAAGGGTCTGTGTCACATACATTCAGTATAGTTGACTTATAGTGTAGAAAGAAGGTGGTAGAGCAAGAAATATATGTTAACACCCTTCTTTATGATTGGAGTCAAATTTAATTACATGTACATGTTGATAATTAGCAAAGACTATATCTTCAAGTGGATAATAACTAAGCTCTCATCCTTATTATAAGTTTTATTATTTTTAAATGTTTTATCAATTTGATCTATTTATTTTGTGGGTTTTGTTGATTGAATTCATTAGTTTTTTAGATCTTAAGAAGTTTAGTGTCATGTCACATCACCCTACACCTTGGAACATATTTTCTATTTGTTTTATTTGTATTGGTAAATCCTGTACTCATAAGTTGGGAGTTTATTTAGATTATATAATTCTGGAGTTCTATTTAATTAAGATTGTTGCTTCATGTTTTTCATGAATCATTGAATTTGTGTGATTTTCATGCGGAGACAAATTGTTTGTATATTACTCGAATGAAAGCAACTCAAATTGACATGATTAACTAATTTAGTGCAAAGATTTGTCTTTGAAGTCTGAAATTTTCTTTCCTTTTTTATTGTTTTTTTAAAATAAATGACCATGTCATATTCCAATTTTTTATAGCACATCTAATCACGTTTATATAAGTTTGTATAATTGGTTTGTCTTTTAATACGAGAGTCAGACTTTGGCAAAGGGATTAACAATGCGAAGAGGTGAAGACCATGCTAATGACTTTGTCTGACCTTCCATGACTACAGGTAAAGTCAAGGTTTGGGTTCAGAAATATTCAGGAGCTTAAATCGAACTATCTATATATTTTTATTCTAGATTTGTATGCATAATCATTGATAAAAATTTCTTTATTCCCAGTGATGTGATGATTTTGTTTCTTAAATATTCTTTATTTTCCTGTAAGTAGTCTTGTAAGTAGTTGGAAGTTCTGAATTATTTGAAAACAGTTCCTTATTTATAGAGTCGATTTGGATGCAATTCATTGTACATGGAAGCGAGAAGCACAAAAAGTTTTGGATTATCATTTGTTGTAATGTATAATTTATTTTACCCCCTTTTTGTTTGATTCATTTGGTTATTACTATCACATATAATATATGTGTTTGGGTTATTGATTTTTTTTTGTAAACATAGGTTTTTTTTTTTTTGAGTTGTAAGATGAATTTTATTAGAGTTGTTGCATAATTGGCTTGGGTGTGATGCAATAACAAAGTGAAAAATTACAATTGTATTTGAATTCGTAGATGTGGTTTGATTATTGATGGAGTACAATGTATATACAAAGTAATGTTGACTCTAATTTAGTAAGAAAATAAAGTTTTATTTTTTTGCTTAATTGTTTGGTTACTGTACTTAACATCACTTTGTTGGAGATCAAATTTAATTTTGTATTGTAAGGAAGGCTATCCAACCAAATATTTGTTATCTAGACATTTCTACAATCGAATTTATGATCCTTTTTGTTAGAATTTTGATTAATATTTTGGATGTAATCATTCTTTATTTTTCTCTTAGATTGGTTGTATGTTTGTTTCATTCTATTGGGTAGGCAATGCATCAATAATTTCGTTCTACTCCCTCCTATTGTTGAGCTCATTGATTATTGATTGTTTCTCTCTTAAATCAGAGATTGATTATTTATTCCATCATTATAGATCACGTTTCTTTGCTTTTATACATATGTTTAAAAAATTCCTTCAATGTATGTAGCAATTTGCCCTCATGCAGGGTAGTTGTTCACTGCATTATGCAGAGGTGTGCATAAACCTGTTACTTTGATAATTCCTTACTCTAGATTTCATTTTAAAACTTTTCATTAATCCTTATATTTTTCAATATTTGTTTTGTGTCACTCATTGTTTTACAATCTGCTTTTTCAAATGCAAATATCAATGGCACCTCAAATGTGGTAAATGTACCAACCGAAATAGATACATAAATCATGCAATATATTGACTGCTGTCTTTGGTTAATTCAATTCAAGTGAAAATTTTGGTTATATATTTTATGCTATGACTTGATTTTATCTATATAGTTAAAGCTATATGATATGTGTTTATGGAACACTATCCTTGAATGTTGAAATATTTGAGTTTTTTTTTTTCAATAAAATTTATGTCTTTTTCTACGTTCAAGATAAGAGATTATAAGTTATGCAACATCTTGATATTGGGCATTCGTGATTTGATCACTTTTCTAATTATGTGCATTGAACAGGTTGAATCTTGATTTGAAGGAATAATAGCAAGGGATTAAATTCTTCACGGGCAAACCTGTAAACAATTATTTACATGCAATCAATTAAAATTGCGGAGCAACATAATCACATAAATCAATATTGAGGATTTTCAATGAGTTTGTGTAACTCCTCAATTTTGATTGACTGTCACTAAACAATTTAAACAATCTATTCTCTTATAGCAATTAAAAGTATTTATTAAAAAAAAAAATGAACTTCAACTCTATTTGACTCTGATGAAATGCAATTGAAAGTAGATAGATAAAAATGGTTGCTTTATTGTATCTAATCTTTAAATTTCACCTAATCTTTGGTTAAATATTTGTCTTTCTCAATTATGGGTGGGACAATACACAACATATTTTTTGTAGTTGGTGGGTATTTTATTGTAATTTTTAAATTAAGCTGGTGAGTCTAGATGGATTTCAACTATGCTAATATTTAATGCTTTAATGGATGTATACACTTATTGCAATGAATTTTAATTTTTTATTGGCGATATTTATTTTAAAAATTACAAGTGTCTTCAGATACATGCATTAACTAGTCATTATATATTATCCCCCATATATGTTGCTTCCTATTTTTCTGTCATTGTCCTTTTTTTCTTTCTTTTTTTTTGAAGTATTTATTATACAAAATCGGAAGGGTTTGTGTCACATACATACGGTATAATTGACTTATAGTGTAGAAAGAAGGTGGTAGAACAAGAAATATATGTTAGCACCCTCATTTATGATTGGAGTCAAATTCTATTTCATGTACATATTGATAATTAGCAAAGACTATATCTTCAAGTGGATAATGACTAAGCTCTCATCCTTATGTTTTCAAATGAATAATAAAAGGGTGTACTGAGTGAACGAGGCTCCTTCCATTGTGGGGTCTGTACAAAGTTAAATATACGCAGTCTTACCTTTGCAAATAGAGATAATGTTTTCAAATGAATAATGAACTATAATATGTTGACCTAATTAGTCCATGGTTTTTAGGGATTTGAGGAGTGGTTTTTGTGCCCATTGTTAGAATTGGTGACTTTCATAAGAGATTTATTTTATATTTAATCTCAGTGAAAAACATATCATTCTTATGTAGATATTATCTGTATATTTAGTATATTATTTAATAACTCAATTGTTCGACACATAAACATTGAACTACTTAATCAAAAATTTTGGAGACCATCAATCTGTTGAGCACTGCCGCCAAAAACCCTTGAATGCTATCATGCATGAAAGATGAATCAATTTTTTGAACTAAATATTTCATATTTGGAGAGAGGATCCATAAGACATGTCAACATGACAAATCACATGATTCAAAAAATGATACAACCTATTTCGTATTGCATATAAAAAATATCAATGTTTTCTTTTATTGTTAATTGAATATGGCACGGAATGTTGTAGACATAAACAATTTTGAATTGGATTTTGCTTGGATGTGGACCAATTGGTCTGTAATTTATGGGGACCTATACGTGTGATTGGGCTAATAGAAAATGGGTATTGATGATATCAATAATTCAGCATACACCAAGCTGAAGGGAGGTTGTTGACTCGATTCGCCTTCTAACCGACCAAGGGGACACCTGAAATGGCAAGTTGAAAATCGGAGGGGTTCTGAGGGTCAACTCTTTGATGCTCAAGTGAAAAAAAGAATGAGGAAATTGGGTATTAAATGAAGTTTAGATTGTTTACTCTCTTGTTGTCCTACTTTTATATAGGCCATTATGTTACCGTTGGGAGGTACCACTACAAAAAAATATACTTTTAGCCGCTAAATTTAAATTACGACTAAAAATATTATCACTAAATATGTACGTTTAGTGACAAAAAATTATTATCGTCACTAAAAGTGTAATATTTTAATTATTTAGTGGCCATAATCATTTATTGCCACTAAAGATATATAATTAATGATAAAAAAAATATTATTGCCACTGAAAATATGGTAGTAAATCCAATTAGTGATAATTTGAATGTTGTAGCAAAAACATATTATTAACTCGCCACTAATTCAAAATATTTGGTGACAATAATTTAAATTTAGTCACTAATATGCCTTATTTTCGGTCACAATTTTTTTTTCCATTATTTATCAATTTTAGTGAATAAGTGACACTGGTAAAAAAAATACAAAAGATATTTGCCCCTCCTCACTCAGTCACTTATAAACGAATCTCATTAAGTTCTCTTTTAGCCTCTCACCACCCCCTTCGAGAGATTGATTGAGAGAGAGATCTCCCTGTCCATCC